AAAAAAAAAAAAAAAAAAAAGAAAAAAAAAGAAAGAAAGAAAGAAAAAGAAACAGAAAAAGAAAAAGAAAGAAAGATAAAAGAAAGAAAGAGAAAAAGAAAGAAAGAAAGGAAGGTAAATTTAAATTACTGGCTTCTCCAAGGCCTCCTTAATCAGAATCTCTGGTCTGAGACTTGCATTCTGTGCTTTAAGAAGCCTTTTAGGTAATTCTGATTTGAGAGATGCTATGTCATAGTGATTGTGGCATGAATATAATCATTTGTTAAATACTGTAAAGAAGGAAACTGAATAAATAGGCTAGTCTGAAAGGAGAACTTGAGGGAAAAACTAAATCAAAGAGATTTCTGTGATTGTGAGCCCATGGTACGATGAAGCATGCAATAAGGGTCCAGAAACTCATTTTTTAAATCAGTATTTAACTTTTAAAAAAAAGTATAGATTCATAAGGAGTTGCAAAGATAGCATAGACAAGTCTCATGTATCTCTCACTCAATTATTCCAATGGTTGCATCTCACATAACTACAGTAAAATGTGAAAACCAGGAAACTGACATTGGTACAATGTATAGGTATAGTTCTATGTCATATTTATTGCATCTATGCAATTAAGTTACCAAACTATTGTATCCTTACAAAGATCTCCTCAAGTTGCCCCTTAATAATGAAACCCACTCCCCTACAACACACACACCTGGCAACCACTACCTTCTTCTCTAACCCCTGGCAATCACTACTCTGTTCTCCACCTCTATAATGTTGTCATTTAGAGAATGTTATACAAATGAAATCATGCAGCACATGACCTTTTCAGAATGGCTTTTCAGTTCGCTCGGTGTAAGTCCCTTGAGATTCATCCAAGTTGTTGTGTTTATCAATTTTTTTCTTTGCTGCTTAGTAATATTCCATGGTATAGATATAATTTCCTTTATTTAAGCATTTTCCCATTGAAAAAAACTTGGACTACTTCCAGTTTTTGGCTATTGCTAATAAGGCTGTTATGAACATTCATGCACAGGCTTTTGTGTGAACCTGATTTTCCATTTGGGGGAGATAAAAAACCAGAAGTATAAGTAGTGTGTTCTATGTTAAGTGTATGTTTAGTTTTTGTTAAGAAACTGACAAATGTTTTTTCAAAGAACTATGCCACTTTATATTCCCACCAGCCACAAACGAGAAATCAGTTTCTCTGCATCCTCACCAGCACTTGGTATTGTCATTGTTTTATTCTACCTCTTCTTATAGGTATGTAGTAATATCTCATCGTGTTCTTAATTTGCATTTTCTTAACGGCAAGTGAATTCCTATCCTTTGTAAGGACTTGAATGACGCTGGAAACCATCATTCTCAGCAAACTAACACAAGAACAGAAATAAACACCACCTGTTATTGCTCATACGTGGGAGTTGAACAATGAGAACACATGGACACAGGGAGGGAACATCACACACTGGGGCCTATCGGAGGTGGGAGACTAGGGTAGGGAGAGCATACCTAGTAGAAATAGGAGCAAGAAATACCTAGGAGAAATAGGGTTGATGGGTGCAGCGAAAGAACCACCATGGCACATACACACCTATGTAACAAACCTGCACGTTCTGCACATGTATCCCAGAACTTAAAGTATGATAATAAAAAGAAAAGAATGGCTGAGAAAAAAAGATAAAACTTGTCATATGCTTGTTTGCCATCTGAATATCTTTTTGGTGAAATATATTATCTTCTATTCATGTCTTTTGCCCATTTTCTAAATGAATTGTTTTCAAGTACTGAGTGTTCTTTATCTAGTCTAAATAAAAGCCCTTTGTTGATTATGTAAAACACATAACCAAAAAAGTTTGTCATCATCTTAATAGGGTCTTTCCCAGAGCAAAATGCTTTATTTTTATGAAATCCACTTTATCCACTTTTCTTTTTAAGGACAGTGATTTTTGTGTCATGTCTAATAACTCTTCACCAAGCTCTAGATTCCAAAGATTTTCTCCCATATTATCTTATCAAAGTGGATCTCACTTTTGCCCAGGCTGGAAGGCAACAGCATCATCATATCTCATTGCCACTTTGAGCTCCTGGGCTCAAGTGATCCTCCTATTCAGTCTCTCAAGTAGCTAGGTTAAATTTTATAATTTTCTAATTTTTATTATAATCTTCAGGCACACGTCAACCCACTTGGCTGATTTTTACAATTTATTTTTTGTAGAGGCAGGGTCTTTCTCTGTTGCCCAGACTGGCCTTGAACTCGTAACCTCAAATGATCCTCCTGCTCTGGCCTCCCAAAGTGCTGGAATTGTAGGCATGAAAGTTTTCTTCTTTAATGGCAACATTATTATTACAACCAATAAAATTTACTATAGCTGGGCACAGCAGCTCACACCTGGAATCCCAGCACTTTGGGAGGCTGAGGCAGGCAGATCACGAAGTCAGGAGTTTGAGATTAGCCTGGCCAACATGGTGAAACCCCGTCTCTACTAAAAATACAAAAATTAGCCAGGCATGATGGCAGGCACCTGTAACCCCAGCTATTCAGGAGGCTGATGCAGGAGTGGCTTGAACCTGGGAGGCGGAGGTTGCAGTGAGCCAAGATCTTGCCACTGTACTTCAGTCTAGGTGACAGAGCAAGACTTCATCTCAAATTAAAAAAAGAAAAAAAAATTACTATGATTGTATCAATATCATCTAATACTGTCCTAATTCATATTCACCTTTCCCTAGTTGTCTCAAATATATTTTTACAGTTCCTTTCTTTAAATTAGGATCCAATCAGATGCTACTCATTGCATTTGATAGTTCAGTTTTTAAAGTATCTTTTAATCTAGTCAATTGTCCCATTGACCTGCCTTCTTTCACACCCTGATCATCAAAGTGTGGCATAAAGGCACAGTGATCAGATGAGATCAGGCACGTTCAAGGTGGTATGGCCATGGACAAGGCACAGTGATCAAGTAAATTATGAGTCAAAGCTTGGGACAGACATGATTGAGAAAGTTAAAATGAAGCTAGCAGTGAAAGTCAAAGGAATTGAACTCCATCTAACAGATATTGACTAATTGATCACTTACTTCACACATGGCACTGTTAGTACTAATAGTACAAAGTATAGAAAGTACAAAGTAACGGTACAGAAGCACTATTAGTCCTTTGGGAGAATCTAAATATTAGTAAAGAATTACCTCCTCTTGGCCAGGTATGGTGACTCACACCTGTAATCCCATCATTTTGGGAGGCCAAAGTAGGCAGCTCACCTGAGATCAGGAGTTTGAGACCAGGCTGGTCAACATGGTGAAACCCCCCTCTACTGAAAATATAAAAATTAGTCGGGAGCTGTGGCACATGGCTGTAACCCCACCTACTTGGGAGGCTGAGGCAATGAGCCAAGGTCACACCACTGTACTCCAGCCTGGGCGGCAGAGTGAGAGAGACCATGCCTCATAACAAAACAAGCAAATAATTACCTCCTCTCAAGGAGAAAAATTGTCTTGAAAGGTTACAAAATCATTGTAGAAAGGATCAGGAGAGATGGCTAGCGTGAAAGGGACAGGGATTTGATCTGTGCCTTGAAAAACAGCTTATTTGCATATTATCTATTTATTATTGTATCTTGACAAATTATTTAATTTCTCTATTTATGAGATACAAAGTGATGCTATAGGTATTCAATGTGAAATGGCTGAATCATGTTAATTAATATGCTTATCACCCCAAATACTTATCATCTATTCCTCCTGTCTAACTGAAACTTTGTACTTTTTTTTAACCATCATCTCTTCATACCCTTCACTCTGTCCGCTTGTAACCAGCATTCTGCCCACTGCTTCTATGTGTTCATTGTTTGAGATTCCACATATAGTGAGAACATGAGGTATTTGTCTTTCTAGCCTTGCTTATTTCACTTAGCTAAATGCCTTCCAGATTTATGCCTGCTGTGGAAAAGAACAGGGTTTTCTTCTTTGTACAGACTGAATAGTATTCCATTGTATGTGTGTATATCTGTGTCTAGATATCATATTTTCTTTATGCATTCATTGGGTGATGGATACTCAGTTGATTACATAACTTGGCCATGACCTTCACTGAACTCTTATTTAGCACTGGGGATACAAGACAAATAGATGAGACACATTGATTAGGTTAATAAAGTATATAATCTCTGACTCTGAGATTTTTTTTCTGCCTTAAGTCAGGCTTTATTCTGAGACTGACCAATGTAACAGCTTCCTAGGGATGCAGTAATAACAAAGTATGAAAAAGTGGATAGTTTAAAAGAACAGAAATGTGTGAACAGTTCTGGAGGCTAGAAGTCTGAAGTCATGGTGTTGGCAAAACCCTGTATTCTCTCATAGATCTGGGGAAGAATATTCCCTTGTCTCTTCCTAGCTCTCGCGGTTGCTGGCAATCCTTGGCTTGTAGACTTATCTCTGCATCTGTCATCACATGGCCATCTTCTCCCTGTGTCCCTCACCTCTTTCTATAAGGACTCCAGTTATACTGAAATCAGGGCCCACTCTGCTTGGGAATGACCTCATCTTAATTAGATCTGCAAGGACCTTATTTCCAAGTAAGGTGCACATTCTGAAGTACTGATCATTAGGACTTTAACACTTCAGCATATTTCTTGGGAGAAACACAATTCAACTCATAACAACCTGTGACTGTAGATTCATTTACCTCTATAAAATGTGTGCATTGGGTTTAGCTCACTCAGGGCTATTGACGGCCTTGCCTCAAAATCAATTTTCTCAACCTGTGTTAAACTATACAATCTCTGATGCTATGATTCTGTGATAAGATTAATAGGGACAGTATTTAGTTCCTGAGTTTCTGTGACCATTGTGTTATTCCCTTAGTATTTATTATTAATAAATTTAATATTCTTAAACCTAAAAATATAGTTTTTATACCTGATATATAATGGGCCTATCTTATATTATAAAAACATAAGTTGAAACTTTGAAAAGCAATCTTTCAGATTTTCATTTAATTACAAATTTGTGCATCTGTTTACAGTAAGAGAGAACTTATTACTAGTTACAGGTTTCTTGGCAACCGAGCTATTTTTACCTAGAGGAGACTAAAGAGGAGGTGACGGGTATTTAAACGACAGAGTCCCAACTGTCTGGAATTATGAGTCCATGTCCTTGTTTAATGTCTTCCTGGACAGCTGCCTCCTGCTGTAACAGCCTTGGGGCTCTGCTTTAAACCAACCAGATGCTTTCTGAATGCCTGATATGCAACTCCTGTGGACGCTGTCAGGCAACCCATGCCTTGTATATACAAGATGCTCAATAAATGTTTATCAGGCTGGGCAAGGTGCCTCACGCCTTTAATACCAGCACTTTGGGAAGCCAAGGCAGGTGGATCATTTAAGGTCAGGAGTTTGAGACCAGCCTGGCCGACCAGCCTATCCACTAAAAATACAAAAATTAGCTGAGCGAGGTGGTACTCACCTGTAATCCTAGCTACTCTAGAGGCTGAGGCAGGAGAATCACTTGAACCCGAAAGGCAGAAGTTGCAGTGAGCCAAAATGGCACCTTTGCACTCTGGCCTGGGTGACAGAACGAGACTCTCTCTCAAAATAAATAAATAAATACATGTTGATCATATAAGAGAATGCTTTGGAGAGGCCGGGGTGAGTCTTTCCTTAAGGATTCTGTAAAAGGAAAATAAATCACTAAGCCAAGGGAAAAGTCAAGCTGGGAACTGCATCAGGCGGGCCTGCCTCCCATTTTATTCCTAAATAAGATAAGCTACAAAGAAGCTATATACCTCCCTCACAATTTGCCCACAAGAAAATTCCTTGTGGATAAAGGTCAGACAGAACTCAAAGTCCTTCCTCTGAGGCTCATCTGAGGCAAATGCATATCTGATGGCTTCCTTTGCCCTATTGTTTATATAGAAATGCAGATTCACTGAGCCAGACTGACTTCTGTATTCAGTGGAAGGCTGATCAAGGACTCAAAAGAATGCAACCTTTGGTCTCTTATCTACTTCTGATCTGGAAGCTCCCACTTCCAGGTCCTGCCTTACAGGACTGAACCAATGTACATTTATACCTATTGATTGATGTCTCCCGTCTCCCTGAAACTGTACCCCGACCACCTTGGACACATGTCCTAAGGACCTCCTGAGGCTGTGTCACGGGCATGTTCTTAACTTCGGCAAAATAAACTTTCTAAATTGACTCAGATCTGTCTCGGATATTTTGGGTTCACAATTCTATCGATGTAGCTTATTTCAGTTATTTTCCACAAACAAGGACTGTGAACCCAAGTTATTTTCCACAAATTGTGAACCCAATCCACCTTTGGTAGCAGGGGCACTATGGGCCTGGGTTACACTTTGGCTCGGTTAAGTAATCCTTCGGTGGTGTTACCTCAGCAGTTATCTCAGCCTTTTTAATGCTCAGTGTCTTAGTTGGTAAAATTGTAAAATAATACCCATCCAGCA